TGTTACACACATCACATTCATATGGTCTCTCTGGTAAATGTATATTTTTATGTTTAGATAAATAACCTTTTTGACTAAATTTTTTGTGACACACATCACATTCATATGGTCTCACTGGTAAATGAATATTTTTATGTTTTGAAAAATCATCTTTATGCTTAAATTTTTTGTGACACACAGCACATTCATATGGTCTCTCTGGTAAATGTTTTTTTTTATGTCTAGATAATTGATATTTATGATTAAATTTTTTGAGACACACATCACATTCATATGGTCTCTCTGGTAAATGTATAATTTTATGTTTAGATAAATAACCATTTTGACTAAATTTTTTATGACACACATCACATTCATATGGTCTCTCTGGTAAATGAATATTTTTATGTTTTGAAAAATCATCTTTATGATTAAATTTTTTGTGACACACATCACATTCATATGGTCTCTCTGGTAAATGTTGTTTTTTATGTCTAGATAATTGATCTTTATGATTAAATTTTTTGAGACACACATCACATTCATATGGTCTCTCGGGTAAATGAATATTTTTATGTCTTGATAATTCACTTTTATGATAAAAATTTTTGTGACACACATCACATTCAAATGGTCTCTGTGGTAGATGAACATTTTTATGCTCTGATAAACTACCTTTATAATTAAATTTTTTGTGACACACATCACATTCATAAGGTCTATCTGGTAAATGAATATTTTTATGTATAGATAAATTAGAAATAAAGGCAAAACTTTTATGACAAACATCGCATTCATGTGGCTTGAGACTAGAATGGATAGTTATTTTATGTTTAGATAAACTACCTTTATAATTAAATTTTTTGTGACACACATCACATTCATATGGTCTCTCTAGTAAATGTTTATTTTTATGTCTTGATAAATCACTTTTACGATTAAATTTTTTGTGACACACATCACATTCAAATGGTCTCTCTGGTAAATGAATATTTTTATGTTCTGATAAATGACCTTTCTGACTAAAGTTTTTATGGCACACATCACATTCATATGGTCTTTCTCCTAAATGTATCTTTATATGGTTTGCTAAATGATTTTTATTATGATATTTTTTATGACACACATAGCATTCATATGGCTTATTAATTCCAGATGGAATATGTGTGTGTATGGATACACTAGACTTTGTAGTGAACTTTTTAGACAAACTAGACTTGTTGTATACCTGTTCTAGGTTTCTTTTGTTATTATGTTCACCCTGACTGATCATAACAACTTCTTGCTGATGAAAATCATTACCATATGGATTCACCCTTGTGTGAATGTTTATGTGTTGTTTAACATGATCAAAATGGAAAAATCTCTGACAACACATATCACACTTGTATGTCTTCAGTCCCTTATCATTTATCTGATATTCTGTTGGGAGATTATCAATCAATTTTGTATGCAATAACTTGAGTTCTTTTAATTCATTTTGAAGGTCTGATTTTAAAACTGCTAAATTTTCATTAAAATCAGTTAAATCTGGTGGGGAAGAAAGTTGTTGCTGTGCTTTGAAACCATTTTGTTTTTCACTCTCCAAAGGTAAAATTGTTAATATCTCAGGTTTTATATCTTCAAAAATTGAAAATGCTGTTGATAGATTTGGTTTCATGTCTTCAGAAGATGAAAATGTTGGGTTATCTTGTTTCATCTCTTCTAAATGAAACAAAGGCTTTGTTTTATTAATATTTTTATCTTCTAAAACTAAAGGTTGCATTGTTTCCTCCAAGTATTTGTCTTTAACAGTTGAAAATTGTGTTGATACATTTTGCTTTATATCTTCAGAATTTGAAAAGAGTGTTGATATATTTGTTTGTACTCCTTCTGAACTTGAAATAGCTGATGTTTCATCTGATTTCATGTCCATAAATGTTATGATTTCGTCACTCAATTCCTGTTTAACCATAATTGAACTCTCCCAAACTATACCATTAGTGTCCTGTGTGTTTTCCATAGCTTTAGATTGATGAATTATTGCAGAAAAAACTGAAAAAAAAAATAATCTTGATTAGAAAACCAAATTTAAAATAGTATTTGAAAATATATTGATTGCATTTATAAAAATGTTTAAATATTTATGTCTTAACTTTACACTTGTTTCATTTTTTTTTTTTAGAATTCATATAGATCTAAGAGACCTTAGACCCTTGCTCTTTTAGTTCAACCTTTATTAAATAGAAGAAAAAAATTCCTCTTCTCCTAATAAAGCTAGATTCATAAATTTTGTACCAATGGAAAGCTTAATACCCACAAATTCATATGGTTTAGAGATAAAATACTCAAAATATAATTTTCATACTTCATAGACATATCACGCAAATGTTACATTTTTTTTTTCAATTGTTTTGTTTAGTTGTGAATGATAAATTTGACTATCTGAACTTGGCGGGATAAGGGGAAGATGAAGTAGAGTTCATCTGTTTCTTTGTCCTAAGCATATGAAGGCATAGTGTGGTCAGAGTCATACTCAGCCAGAATCGTTTTATTTTTAACAATAAAAACATGTTGTCTGAGACTTGGCAGGACACTGGGCAGGTGAAGTAGAGTTGAGTAGGTCACCTGTAACGTCATATATGAAGGAATAGTGTGGCCAGACCTATGCTCAGCTGAAATCAGTGTTTTTTTAATGTGGGGTCTGGTTATTTTATGATGATAAATGACAGACGTAATGTTATGGATGACATCCAAAACCTACAGTTATCCAAGGGATGACCGGGTAAGTCTAGTTAATTATTAATAGTCCTGTTATTTAATAATTTTTTAATTTAAATTAATAAGCCTTGATCAGATTTTCAAGAAGGGCTATGAGTTGATAAAGAAGCATTAATATTAATTTATACTATTAATAGGCCTATAAATAAGTATATTTTGAATATTTTCGGATCTTTGTTACAGAGGCGTAGCGACCATTCCCGGCGCCCGGGGACAAACTTTCGATTTCCAACTCCCCTCGAACTTTTTATTTGCATCCCCCCCCTCAACATTTCAATTTGACGCCTTCCTCAGGTCGGCGCCCGGGGACATATGTCCCCCCCTGCCCCCCCCCCCCCCTCGCTACGCCTCTGCTTTGTTATAAAATATTGTAAATCTATAAGTCTATTACCTACCTAAAAACCTATATTTACATATTTAAAGGTAGATTCTAATCTAATAATAAAAATAATAACTATCAATTTTAGTTTTAAGTACTAAAAATTATTTTAAAATAGGCCACAGCTAGTACTAGATATAGTAATTATTTTCATTTAGTAATGTGACAGAAATCCTTACCCTACCTAGATCTAGTACCTACCATAGTCCATATGCCTAAGCCCTGACCCTAATTTGAATTTCTAACTATAGGCCTATTAAATCAAAATGTCATGAAACAAACTCTAGACGTATAGACTAGGATCTAGTTTTCTAGATCTAGATCTCTATAGTACTCTATAATAGTCTATATCAAATTTTTTTTACTGTGAAGTGTAAAATTTCTAAAATTTCTATATTTAATGGTAATCTATTGTTTAAGGTACGTAAAATCAGCCAAGACTAGTAATGTGAAAAAAAGTTGACTTATTAACTTTATGATTTTTAAGGAGGATTTAAGTTTTGAAAGCTACATAAATGTTTCAAAGTTTCATTCATGTAACTGTTTTTAAATAAATGTATTAAAACTTTTCAGTAATAAATAAAGACTAGATCTAGCAATGTATACATCCAATGACATATGATGAAATGCAACCAAGCTCATTTATTTTAGCAATTATCTTGTTTAAATTTTGTGTCTAAATTATAATTAGAGATTCAGGGGAAACCACTCTAATATACAGGTGGCCGCTGTTTATATATCAAATCTTGCTTGCAAACACTGCTGTTTAAAGTTAATTTCTGGCCTATATTGATATATTTATATTGAGCCATTGCTTTATTATTCAGTTATCTATAATATTTGACAAAATCATATATCATAATATACATCTATTAAGGCCTTAACAATGAGGCAATTTTTTTCACATTACCAGCCTAATAAAAGTCCATATGCGCACTTCTCGCTCTCTCTCTCTCAGTCCACAAGTTTTTTTAGGCGATTGTGATCAGAATGTTCAGCTAAATATGGAGAACTTGAAGATACTGGCTTTTGTTGAAAATAATATATAGTGGATGTTATAAATTTTTAATCTAAATTTTATTTAACGAAGGGAAATAAAATTTAAGGCATATTCGAATGTAGAAACACAATTTTAATAATGCAACCGGAAAAGCATTTATAGTTGTAAAAGAATGAAATAAACAATGACTTCACATGTGACATCTTTAAACTTTGGAAAGAACACAAAACAGTTCAAAACTAATGGCATCATCTTCCAATTTTAGAATATAAAGAAATGAACTATTTCATTCAAATTTGATTTAGATGTATAGATCTACTTATCGGGACGTACGCTATGAAATGTATACAATTTTATCGGCTAAAAGTAATACAAATAACTTAAAAAATAATTTAATTCTCTTAATCAGACTTAATCAGTGTGTTCATTTAATAATATTGAATATGGTGTTGTGTTGACAAATAATGTAGGCTCTATCTAGACTAGAGGGCCTATTTATTATTTAAGTTGGTTTTTCTATAATAATAATTTAGGGCATTCATTAGGCCATAATATATCATAATAATAATTCATAATATTATTATTATTAATAGGCCCCTAAGTATTGGTAGCAGTTGTTATTTTAAATGTGCAGGATTTTAAGCTATTTGGTTATTTCTTATTCCCCAATAGTGCCAATAGGGGTAACAAACTAACACTAACTTACTAACTATTACTTAGTAAGTAGGCCTAACTATAAGTAATAGTAATAGCCAATAGGGCGGCAATAGGCCTGCCCTAACTATTTTATATTTTCTCCAACATGTTTAACACCAAATAAATAGGCCCATGGCTATGCGGCTATTGACTTGTTCACGTTTGTAAGCTTTAGTAACATTAGACCTTTCTTATCTGATGTTGTAAGTCGTAAATGATCTTAAAACACTCCTAAAATTAACTTTTTTGCGATGTTTGTCGTTTGAGATACAAAACTTGGGTCCCTATTTTGAATATTTTTTTAGAGTAATCTCCCTTGAAGACAAGAGTTCCGAAACTACACCGCATTTACAGTTACGACATGTAGATCTATACTATACATTTCTAGTTGTTTTTAGCGCAATTTGCATACGGACAATTGCGATTATAAACTCGTCATTTCTGGATGGATGTATGTATGGATGGATGTATGTATGTATGGATGGATGGATGGATGGATGTGTGTCCGCAGCTTTAAGTGGTATCTCCTCCTGAACGAAGCAATATCGAGGACTAGTTCCAAAGCAAATATGTTAAGCAAGTTCCGAGGATGATTGTGGGCCAAAAAAATTGCCGGTATTCCTATCTGGATTTCCCGGAAAAGCAAAAGAAAACCGCGAACAAATGCAGTTTTTCCTCCATATCTCGGCAACCAGACCACTTAGCGACTTGAAACATTTACCAATCGATTCCTGCCATTATTTAGACGAATATTGCCGAAGAAAGTTTTCAAAAATATCCTTTCGTGCGGTCACAAAAAATTAATTAAGAACATTTAAACTGAGCATCGTGTAGGTTTTTAGCGCAAAGCTGAGGTTCGAAAGGGTTTTACGATAGAGAATGAGCGGAGGTTCGAAAGGATTTTTTAAAATTTAAACTGAGCATCGTGTAGGTTTTTAGCGCAAAGCGCTGAGGTTTGAAAGGATTTTACTATAGTGAATGAGCGGAGGTTCGAAAGGATTTTTACGTAGGTCTGTGAATTCTAAAAAAATTAATTAAGGAAATTGCGCTTAAATTGTCACTAGACATTTTATTATCTTGTTTTAATCTGGTTAGAGTAGGGCTTATGACACTCATCCCCCCTCCTGTTTTTACAGTCCGTTGATTAAGTGTGATCCCACGAGCACATTCTGGTGGGTGTATAGATTTATTCACGTCAGACTGAAACAGAAAATATGTTTATACATATTTATACATAGTAAACGAAGCGTTGCCTAAGCTCCTGATGAAACAGAAACGAATAAAAAGAAGAAATCACAAAAGTTTCGATCAGTGGTTCTTAATACGTGTTCGATCGAACCCAAGAGGTTCGGTAAGTCAGTCTCAGGGCTTTGGCGGAGGTCATGGCGCGCACCCAACTCGTAGGTTTAAAGATTTTATCTGGACGATAAAACTATTAAGAAGGGTTCGGTGAAGGCGCATATGAAATTTGTAATGGATTGTGGTTTTATTATAACACAACGGACGATGAAGCCATGTTTATATGTACCTTGCTTTTATTCTGCCTCAGCAACCGGAACATGACATGCAAGGGACATCACTCAAAACATTGTAAATATAAGAGTAATACAAGAAGAGTGAGTTCCCCTGAATTTTCACAAAGCTCAATATATTACAAAATTGGTAGGATTCGGTACCTCCAAAAAGGTTAAAAACCAATGCTTTAGACTAGCGTGTACTTTGTACAAGGTGCAAGCATATTTTGTCTACTTTTTGTCTTGACTTTTTAACAATTCCGACAATAGTGTATTACAGTTTTAAATTATCAGTTAGGTTGAGCAAAGTAATAAAGGATTAGCAGTCGTCGTGTTTTACCATTTTTACATCGTTTAGTAAGTCTAGTGGCCGTAACTATATGAAAATTGCAGTATTATAACTTGCCTTTGCTCCCCAGGGGCCACAAAGGAATGATGATGACAAAAGCAATAAAAAAATTATCAATTCTGTACAATATACTAGTTTTTAGCTCTTAAAATTTCGGCAAGAGTATTGTCCTACACCCAACCGCTCCGACTGTATGCTATTTTACTAATCGGATAGCGATTCAAGAATCCGTGATATTTAATTCTCTTTACTACAGTGACCCAGACAAGATGTAATGCAATCAAGTAAAAGTATCTGATCTTTCATGTTGACGTCGAGCGAATCGTAAGAATCTTACAAAGAACTAGTCGAGTCATATCTTAACAAAACTGGCTAGTGAAATTGTACATTACGCACTAATACAATTGGTTTATATTCTTAGTATAATACGATTTATCTAATCACCGTTCCGGTGTAAATCTTTCCCATTTACTTTGGCGAAAAAACGTGCCACGGCCACCCACCATACTTTTTTTTTTTACTGTTACACAATACGCTTTGATATAATTAGTTTATTTCTAGGTGTTTAAACTAATCCAGTACAAATAATTGCGATTTATTGTTCGCGAAAAAGCACCCCCATCCCCACACTCCTTGCCACCATCTTGGACAAGGTTCGTAGAACAGGTTTTAATCGTGCCATGCACTTTAGTAAAATAAGTTTCTTTTCTAAGCGATCTGGGTTATCTCCTCTCCAATCCAGTGTAAATCCTTGCAATTTTATTTAGCGAAAAAAGCGCCCACCCCCTTTTACTATCTTGATAAAAGTCACTACATTTTTTACGGTTAAAAAATCGTACAATTACGTTTTAATACGATTGTTTTTTTTCATAAGTGGTAACGTTTAACAACTAATCAATCTAATGTAAATTTTTACGATTTTGGTCGCAAAAAAGCGCCCCCCCCCTCACACATCTAGCGGTTTTTGCCAGTCAAATAGTTAAATAAGTATGTAAAGGCTTGTAGCCATTACATTTCTTTCTTAACTTAGACTTTCTAATTAAAAACTGCAGCATAAATTCAGCTTTAAAAATGTCCACCCCTTTTGGCGCCCTATAGGTTCGGCGCCCGGTGCAGCCTCCCCCCTCCTAGCTACGCTTCTGCGTCAACTAATGCATTAACTAAAATCCCTTGATTATCTGTCCGTAAGTATTAGATAAAATACGAAACATAGCTGGCGAAAATCAATACTACTGTGACTGTATTTATGATTAGACTCCACAAACTCGAGTGCCGTACTCTATTATGATAATTGTTCTTCGGTCTCTTTGGAAGCCATATTTTTACCAGCACTTTCGGATGGTTTTAGCATCTCTTAAGTAGACTTTTCAACATTTGGATCATTTATCAAGATCCACGTTCTCACCACTCATTTGATGACTCAAACTAATCAACATATCATTGCATTCCATTTAATGGGTCATCAGAGCGCGACTGCTAAACCGAAAGTCTCCAGTTGGAATCCACGTTAAAGTGAATAGTCTGTATTACGAACACCACTCTAACAGTTGCGGAGCTGGCGAACGTACCCGGGTTCGTTTAGAGGGTTACACACAGATGGCTCATAGCCTTAAAAGGAAGCAGGTATAAAAATTCATCGAGGACTCGTACTTAACACCTAGGGGATAAACTCGAAGAACTCTTGATACCAACAACACTTTTAATCTATATATAACTTTTAAAATGTGTACAAGTTCAAAGTAAGACTCTAGCTTTATACAAAATATAATGAATTAGCAGAATAAACAAAACCCAACTTACAAGTTGAAGAAAAAACACTATGTTACACTATCACAGGCTATGGCACTTAAGAAAATCACCACAGCTTATACGAAACTACTTAAAGCACACAATATTACTTAAACCACAAGTAATAAGGGAAAAAGCTGCTTTAAAACTATAGACTACAAAATGGCGACATACACGGCTTTCTCTCTCAGAATGTCTGGTCCCGACTGCTGTTCAGAGAAACGTGTGCGCAGACTATTTAACAACTTAGGAAACATGGGAGGTCACCTTCAAGTCATAAGACTATTGGTTAGGCCATCGCCGATGTCCTAATTAACCAATCGTAATTATAGAAGGATTACACCACATATCGTGATGAAAAGGACCGGGTATATATCTTTCTTGAAACTATGGAAAAATACCGGTGATTACACCACAGGTCACTCATGGTTGATTAATAAATGTTAAACTAAAAAAATACAAGACCTAAGTAGGTCACATATGTCCTTGAGTTAAACCAGCTCTGATAGTACCTAACCGAGGTCACAGAAACAGGTGAACTCTACTTCATTTGTCCACAGACAGTCAGGTTTGAAAAGGGATTTTTACTTCTGGGTCGTCAGCAGAAGACTAAGCATTCAGTATCTCCCTCAAGCACAGAATTAACCTCGATGTATTCCTTTAGTCTAAAAAAAAAATCTGCTTTTAGTCGCTATTTGCGAAGTCGACAATCAGCGGGAGTCAACTAAACAAAGAATTGTCTATCAAACTGATATTTCAATGTATAATTGTAGGCCTCATATTTCATATAACAAACGCAATCCGTCCTGGCACCTCGTTCTACAAAATACGATTCTCTACAGCAGTGGTTCCCAAACTTTTTCAAGTGGCGACCCCCTTTTATAAAAAGTAAGTGACCCGCGACCCCCATTGAATTAAAAAATCGAAATTAGTAAGGAAATTTATAAGCACTTAAATAAAATTTTCCAGTAGAATTTAAATATGAATTATTCTTGATAACTGTTTTAATACGATGAGTAAAATTGCATGCTATTAACTAGCCTCAACATTCGCGGTTGAGTTTCTGTTAACGCCAACCTTATTGATTTCTTTGTTTTATTTTTAATTGGAGAATTTTTGAAAATCTATTCTCGCAAAGATATGCAGGAACACAAGAAACTAAAACTCAAAGGGAAATCAATTTCACGTTTGGATTGGACAGCTGCATACTACACCAAAATTGCGTGAACAATTTTTCATCTGACGCGGAATCACTCCGCAAATCCAAGAATTCATCTTATAATTCATCGGGAATGTGGCAACATCAAGGGCAGTGTTTCTTCCAGTCATCTCTTCCCCCCCAGAAAAATATATATAAAATATATACTTTTAACAGTGCCTGACCCCGGAAAATTAGTCCGCCCCCCCCCCCCCCCCCCCCGCAAATTCTGGATGAAACACTGAGCAAGGGAAGCAGAGAATACGTAAAGCGTCAAGGCAGATTCTCATTCTTTCTCTCCTTTCCTCTTCCTTTGCTCAGTGTTTCTTCCAGGATTTTTTCCGACAGGGGTTGGGGGGGGGGGGGGCGGGGGTGCAGTGTTCCCTGTAAACTGCGCGGCTGTACGGCCGCGCAGCACTTACAAATATGTCGCGCAGACA